CTCGAAAAGTTCGTACGATATCGTGGATCAAACGGTGCTCTAGCAAGATCGAGTCTCCTGCGCATACAACGTACCTAAAACAAGAAATAAGATAAAACGAAGAGTAAATGGGTGAATCGTGAAGATTGTGCAAATCTAGAGCTAGAATAAAATAATCCATAAAATATTCCCCGGCAACGGCGCCAAAAACTTGTTGGTCGAAAACCTACACGCAAGTGCACGTATCGTACAAGTAATATAGTGGACAATTAAGTCCGGATATCGAACCCACAGGGAATATTTAATTACTTAATCCTATACGCTAAATTCTACCAATTATTATCAAGCCCACCCTACACAGTCGAGTTTTGAGAGAATAAACTAAATTAAACTAAATTAAAAACAAGCAAAAACAAGAAAGCAATTAAAAACGAAGATTTAATCAAAGTAGACAAGCCTAGGATTTTATTCTTCCCCCTATGTGATTATTACTCCCCCAATTCCCTCAATTATGCAAGCAATTAACCCGGATTATTAACCTGAGATGCTAAAATAATCATAACCCGCTTCCGCGTGTATTACGATTCTAATACTCTAGATTCAATTACTATATTCCTATGCAATTAATTCTAGAACACAGCATTAAGCACAAATCTCAATAATGGCTACCTAAGAGATTAACTATATTCCTATGTTAATACCACAAAGGCTCTTCTACCACAGTTCTAATTATTAACCCGATCTTCCGATTCATGCGATTAACAATAACATAAAAGCACATAAGTTGATCAAGTTCATGCACTTAATAAAACAAGTAGAAGAAATAATCCGGAATTAAAACTTGCATAAAATCATAGAATTGGGTTCATAAATCCCACATAGGGTTCCAAATAAAATCCTAGAAATAAGTAGTTTAGCTACTCATAATTAAATAAAAAACGCAAATAAAATAAATCATAGACGATAAATCTTTGCTTGGAGTCTTCGAATTCTTCGTTATTGCTTTGTTGCTCTTGAAATTGCGTAAAAAGATGGATCCCTAATTGTGTGCTTGGCTTGGTCTTATATAGGGTGAAAAACTTGGGGAAGAAGGCAGTTTCCTTGTACAATTAAGATTCCCTCACTGCGCCAACTCGCCCATCCGGACGGCCGTGTGAGATTTATGCCTAAAATCCGCACGGCCGCGCGGTCTATTCTCCAGAATTCTGTTTTTTTCACTTTTGGCCCATATTTTCTCCAAAATTGCAGTTTTGACCCCATACTTTTCCAATTCTTCAATTTGTACCTAAAATACAATAAATCAACTTTTTAAGCACCAATTATCGTTAAAACACACCAAAAGCTCAAATAAAAAGATACGATAAAGTGTAAAAATATACACTTAACAGCTTCGTCCTCGAATCCAGACAAATATTCCAATTCTTCATCTTGGAGCTCGACAGGATCGTATCACTTTGTCTTTTCATATACAATACAACAGACTGTGGTAGACTATGGTATACTACGGTGTACTATAGCATCCTACGGTGTACTAATCCAAATCCTAGCCGCCATAAAAACCTAGATTTGAAACCGTATTTAGCTACCCTTTTTGAAAACCTGGATTTGCCATTTTGAGCCCTAGCGTGCACCGCCACGCAATCGTAGCGCCCCAAAAACATTCTCAATGACCTGTAGCAAGTAAAAAAAATGATAAATCAAATCCAAAGAAATCAAAATCTCTTAAAGACCAAGAAACCATTTTTTTTATATTTATTAGCACAATCATCACTTAATATGCTCTTTACTAATTTATTTGAACTTTATAAATTTATGAAACCAAAATTTATAATGATTTTTTAAAATTTCATTACTTCACAGATTTGATTCCTCTTTTATGCAAATTTGAACTTTTGATAATTTCTTCTATCCGGTGTGCATCTGGCCAATTTGTGTTACTACTTGTTATTGTTAAAATTGAATCGGACATAGTTTTAATAAATAGAACTGTGATAGAAGAGTCTGGCAATAGTTTTCACCAGATTAATGTGTTAATTGCATTTGGTACAGTAGACATCATATGTATCACCTTAGGTATGGATTGACGGGATATATAATTTAATGTTTTATTTGTAATCGGGTTGCATAGACATGTAATAATCGGATTGCATAGACATATAATAATTTGTTTGTGAATAATAAAATTATAATACACGCGAAACAAGTTATAATTAATTTTGTGACTCGGGTTAATAATCAGTAATCATAATTTGCACTATCAAGATTTAATTGGGTAAAGAATCAACACATAGGGGGAAAATAAAATTTCTAATTGATATTTTTTTCTTCTGTTTATTTTCTTTCATAGGTAGTTTAATAATTTAGATCATAAAAACTTGACACTTCGGATTTCTTGAAAGGAATACATTTGGTAGAATTCGGTACGTAGGATAAGATAATTTGATTATTCGCTGTATGATCGACATTCGACTCTATTGACGTCTACTTTTACTGCTTGTTTGCGATACGATGCACTTGCGTACGTGTTAGTATGTACTCCCAACTGATACGTTAACAAGCATCGGAACATTCTCAAGCAAGAGACTTTCTACTTTCTGAACAGTAAGTGAAGTGAGATTCGGGGCGGAAACCTCAACGGATTTCATAAAAACGCTGCAACTCTGAATAGTAAGTGAGGTGAGATTCGGGGCGGAGACCTTAATGGAATTCATACCGTAGCAACGTGTTACCTCAAAGTGTTTCAAGACAAGTGATGGACCACCACAGACTTCGACATTTAATAATTTCGGGGAGAAGTCGACAGCCAATTCTTCGAGCAAGGGGTAGTTGCTTAGCAAAAACTTAATTTCTTCATCTGTCACATTAAAAGATTTCAATGTCAGTACTTTGAGGGACTTGGTGCTCATATTTTGAGTGAGCATCTCTTCGGGTAACGAACAATTAGTAAGGCTCGAATGGTTTGTGGTAAGATCCAACTCTAGCCTCTGCACGTGCCTCACAAGCGCAAATTTAATCCATCGGGTAACGTCCTTCTGGAATGTTACGCTCAACCTTAGTCGGATTACGAAATCTTTCAAGATAGCTGCTTTGTGTTTTCTGATGACGGAATTCACCCATTTTACGTACTTTTGCCTCTTCACTTTGCATGATTCGTATAGTTGTCGAGTCCCTTTTTTTAAACAAACGTGTGGATCCAAGTTGAGACGGTATGTTTGTTTCCACAAGTTACGCCAGCGAGATGAGAGAACACTAGTGCATACGGCTTTCTTGAGCGACAGTAAAGAAATTATATCGACGAGAATGTCGTCGGGTAATTGACTTATCCGATCATTGTCACCGTAGATTATCTTGGCATGCTATAAGAAAAAAAAAAATAAAAATTATGTATGTTATAACAGCTGGTGAAATACATCATGTAATCTCGCACGATAAATTTGCACACAAACACACACATGTATACTAGCAATTCCGTTTTTTTTTTCTTTTTTTTTTCTGGAAAATTATGATAATCCTACTTCCAAGAAAAAAAAAAGAAAAAGAAAAATCAATCTGTTGTTTCAGATTGAAGAGAGAAATAGTAGGAATCATTGGATAAAATAATTAATTTGGTTTGTGGAGAGAACTCACCTTCTTGATTTGGAACTTGTCATCATCAGATTTGACTCGCTTCCCTGCCATCAATATTCAATCTTTCGATAATAAAAATTAGTGCATAATTATTTTACGTACTCAGGGGATAATATATACTCAAATCTCTATTGGACTCCGATTAGGAGTTGTTTTGAAATCTGTTTCCATGTGCAAGGCACGTGTCGATATGTCTTGTGGAGAAAGACATTATTTTCCATGTTAAATTCAGTCGTGTATATGGATTTATGTGAGATACCGAAAAGTATATTATTTGATTATTTCCAAACTTAGCTACGGATTTTTTTTAGGGAGGAGTAATATTGAATGTCAAAATAGTAATATTACTAATATTACTATTCTAAATCATA